CAATGCTACCCTAATATGCAGTGATTGGGTGTTTGATGCACGAACATGGTTTTGTGGCTAGGTTTCAATGAAGAATATAAGCGGTAGCTCAAAGCTAAAATCAACTCTTTTCTGAAAATGTAAAACTCCTAGTCAAAACAAATGAGCATATCAAACGAATTTAAGCAAACAATTTCAAAGATAGATTTAGAATACATTCGATGAAGAACATTACCCATAAAATATGATTGATGCTCATAGGAGATCTAAGATGGAGATGAAAAATAAAGCTTTCAAAAAATTTCCAATCTCAAACCCCAAAGAACAAATGAACCCTAGATTTAGCTTTTAAAGAAGGATTGATGTTCAGATAGAAAGAGGACCAAAAAAGCCCTGTGTCATGTGCAAAATCAATCTGGAAAGATCCAAGGTTGAAAAACACTATCGGGGAAAAGGCTAACATAAAGCCCATGTGGGTTGTCTTAAAGTGTGTACCTAGCTCCCATGAAAGCAGTGAGAAGTTTTGATGAGACAGAACCACTAGATAGAATGAACTAGAAATAATGTCGTGAAATGCATATGTATGAACAAACCTTTGATGAGAGAAGTTAAGCTTTTGAAATGATATTTCCAATAGTATGATCCCAAAGTATCATTTAAACCTTAAATCTAAGTAGAGCAAGTGTGGTACAATTTATAACATTTGACAAGGAAAGCCAAACAATGAAACTAGACTTCACAATATTTTTCACTTTTTCGGAATAGTGAACACATGAATACACTTTGTCAAGCTAACCAGGAGTGAGTAAGGCATCTTTATACCCTTCATCACAAGATACTAAGACTTAGTGGTTCCCAGCAGAACTTTATATAAACATTCCACAATTGGAACCTTAACGAGATTATACAATCTGTCTCTTATACAATTCGTCTCCCCCTAGGCACTCCGACTGGAGTAGGCATCATAGGCACCACTTCATTCTCAACTATCTCTACTCAAATGCCAGTTGATCATGTCCCATCCAAACTGTAAGAACCCTGCTACAGAAGTATGGGTAGAGCCGCAGAATGATTGGAATAGGCGATGTGATTGTATATCGGGCAGAAGACATGCAGTGTTGACCCATGCTGCGTAGAGTCAGACTACTCTGAACCATACAACAGGACATCTGAGTGGATAGAGCCTTACCTTTAATTCCAATGACTCTGACGACTCTGAGAATTGGCAGAGCACCTAGGACGACTCCTCAACGCCTATAAATAGGTATCCTGACTCCTCACAAAGGGATAAACATCCTGAGCTCTCTCTATACACTTAACATTCATCTCACTTATTTCCCTTACTTCTTGACTTGATCGTTGAAGTGCCTACGCTGGAAACAACCCTCCCTGTCGCTTGGTTTCACAATCTTTCTTGGTCTTTGTTCTTGCAGGTTCGTTCATCCACCACTATGCAGAATTGGGTCCAACACAAAACCTTTATTTTTTGGAGCATTGTCTTGTGCAACCAAATGTAATTTATTAAAGCTTGACGAAACAATAATGATGAATTAACCAACTAGTCCATATTAAGGCTTACCGACTAAAGTGGGTGGCCACTAAATTGCATTTTTTCTTTTCTTTTCTTTTTTTGCAAACAACTGCTTGTTGCCTCTTATTTTCTTAAGTATCAACCTAAAGCCGAATATAAAAGTTAATATTTTCCAAGCAAACAAAAACAAGAGTGGCCGAACCATAATGAGAAGGAGGCCAACGATGCTTTATTTTGACAATTTCATTATGATTTTACTCCAAGCCAAGTAAAGGACCAACTCCAAATATTCTTCACTTGGCCAAATATTTTTTATTCTCGGAAGCAAAGTACTCCAAGTTATTATGCCCCCCAAGCATAGTCACTTCGCCAATGTTAGCTTTTAACTCGAACAACTCAACTAAATGATATTGCTCCATATTGGCTTTATCTCTAATAACCATATCGATTGACATGGTTTCTTCATCTGATGCCGTTTTCCGGCCTTGTTTTCCATTGGAACAATCCTCTGACTAATTATCTTCGGAGTCAATATTTGGATCAGGAAACATGAATTTTTTTTTTTTCTAGGCCGACCAACTTTTCTAACTCAGTTGAACGAATATGTGTTCTTCTTTGGCCAATCTGACACACTTCTTAAGACGAGGCATGATTGGGCCGGAGTAAGAATCGCCCCCTACCCTCCCTGACCCAACCTTTTGGTTTAACCATTCTCTAAACAACATAGATTTGAATTCAATAACGTAAGGAAAGTGTTCCTTATCTGGCCATTTCTTCTTTTACTTATTGGCCTTGTAAGGTAAACTAGGCATTCACTTTCAACATTTCACCTCAGCCTTTTTAACGTCTTTCTTGAGTTGAGGTTGGATCTCGTCCAATTAGTCGAATGGAGCTGAATTGGTATCTTAATATATCATATAAACTTCATAGTTTTAGCAACTGTGTCACACTAAGCGTGCCAAAATGTTGACTATAAAAACTACAAAAGCTACGTGATGCACAGAACGAGTAACTACTGAGCTAACTACATCTTTATGTTGATGCAGGCGTGCTAATTGGCAATGGAGCTCAGTTGGGTAAACAGAGTGTGATGGTGAAATGCGTTGTTGACTTCTGCATCGAGCGAATTCAGCTGAGAAAGCAACACCACTTTTGGTCTAGGATCCAAAACATGGAGACAAGGCTATGTAATTCACTACTTAGTTCAGGATCTTCTACACCAATTTCGACAACTTCAATTATATTTATGAAAATATAGGTGCACCTAATCGATATCAAGTTGTGGGGACAAAGTTACCCAAAGAAAATGAGTGTCTTTATGGTGAAAGTGGTTCGGCTATTTGAATGCCAAATTCTAAAATGTACTTATGAATAACAGACGATATATTACCTCATATTGCAGGGAAAACTGATGAAGTGACCTTTTTCGACAAAAGAATAAAAAACTCTTCACCGTCTGAGACTTGGATAGATAACGTAACCAACCAAACTGAAGGTACTCCCTAGAACGACTGATTCTATGACTCCAATGATGTGCACCTAAACTGAATGTGTTGTTAGTTGGTCAACCCAGTGATGTTTATCTAAACTAAATATGTGTTGACAAAGTGGTTATTGAATCAGTTAGTATTTTTCCAGGGGTGTGAGAGGGTTTTGCATGGAGCATTTGCTTATGTTGAGTTGAATGTCATCTCCACGTTGCAAAACCTCATATTTATAAGGGTGAATTTCGTAATGACCAAGTTTGTCGAGTTGTAAATTATGATAATATTCAAATTTCTTCGCATATTCTTTGAATATACTCAAAATTATTTTTTATCAGAACTCTATTGACGCCAAGTCTCGCTGTCTTCAACTAAGACTCTGAGCCTAGATTGATTGTGCAATTGATCAACCTTTGTCTGGAAACCAATCATGATCCTTAATATTTCTTTCATTCAACATCTTGGAGTAAATGGGTTGAGTGTGTGTAGAATCGGGTTCAAACACCTTCATTTGGAGGATCCCAACCATATTTTTTGTGATTCTAACCATTTTTAATTTAATATTAAACATTTACTTTTAAATGTTCAAATAAATAACACAAATATGTTTAACAACCTCCGATATTTGAGGTTTTCTATTCTGAAAAATTAACTTATTATGCTGATTTTGTTGTATGCCTACTTTACTAAGGGATATTATAGAGAAAGATAGGCCGGTGACAAGAGAGAGAAGAGATAATTGATGAATTCTGTAGTGTGTGTGTGTGTGTGTGTGTGTGTGTGTGTGTGTGTGTGTGTGTGTGTATTAGCTCATTTCATTGTGCTTCTACTAGTGTGTGTGTGTGTGTGTGTGTGCGCGCGTGTGTGTATTAGCTCATTTCATTGTGCTTTTACTTATAGTAGTAAGGAAGGTAAAATCCTAGCCTTTCAAATAATACATTACAACTAGGACACTATCTAAAAGATGCTGTAGAATCTCATACGAATTTACCCAATCACATTCCTAATTAATTTACGACTACAACATATTTCAAAGTTTCCACAAATTGTACAACATTTTTATATGAAAAAAAAAATAGAGGATATGATTAATTAATTAAATTAAATATTAGTTGCAGGTTTTGAAATGCCAAGTTTACTTAAAGTGTTCCACAACTGTCACTTAATACTACAATCTTGTAGTATTTATCTTCACTTATAAGTAAAAGCACTTTGGTTAGATACTCAAAGATGAGAGTTTAATTCCAATTTATTCCTCCACCTCTTAATGTAAATACATTGTTGTATAAAAAATAAAAAAGTTTCACAGTTGATTGGCATGGTGGCATTGGAATAACATGGGAAGTATTTTCTGGGCTTAAAGCACAATTATCATGGGCCTATATATCGAAAGCAATGGAACTCAATTCGAGCTCATCCCCCCAACCCCCATAAAATGACGCAAAACCGGAATTGAACTGTGTTTGGTTAGTTCGGTTTCTAATTTAATTGAGAGATTATATTCACAAATCCTTAATTACTTTCTCACACCTTTTTATTTTTTTAATATATTTTTGACACCACTAACATTTGATAGAAAATTATTAAAAATTTAAAACAGAATGAAAAAGTAATTTGGAGTGTATGAATATAATCTCTTACTCTCCAATTAGTCGAATCATGAAGAATTATCAACAACAAAATTCTTCCACATGGATCGCCAAATAGAATCTCAACTTGCTTATTGGCAACAACGGAGCGGAGATCCATTCTTTATTGGCACGCTTAATTTGCATTTGTCAATCTCAAGTCTTGCTCAAGGAAGATTTAACCGTATTAGTTCATATTCGATCGAAATATTAAATAGTTTACCTTAACGACAAATCTTTAAGGTTATAGTCTCTAGGAAGTATTATTATCGCGTCCAATTAATCCATAACTGTTTGGTAATGAGTGAAAGAGGCTATTTAATACTATATTAGAATTTGAACAGCTACCATAAAACTAACTGACACAATTTTCTACGTAAGATTAACACTCTCAACAACATATGCATTTATTAAAAGCTAGTTGAAACTGAGTACATATAAAGTTGGTACGGGAAACCCCAAACCAGGCCTTACTAACAAAAAAACGAGCATGAACACTAGCAAGCTACTAGTAGTGGTAGTACTAGGCCTGGCCCAAACCCACTACCACCAAAGTGATTGTCCAGGGCCCAAAACTAAAAGGGGCATGAAAAAAAAATTCCAAATAAACTAGGTATAAAAAAATAAAAAAAATGTCCAGAGCCCAAATAGGGGCCTGGAGGGCAAGAGCCCAAGTTTGACAAAAGATGAAAAAATGGCCTAGTTGTAGAGCATTACCAAAATAATAATAATAATAATAATAAATAAATAAATAAATAAACATAAGAGGGACCACTCAGTCCCTAATTAACCCCAACTTCCAAATACATCCACCCTTTTCCTGATTCTCCACCCCACTTCCTCACTATCCTGGCGTCCTTGACTCCCTTTTCTTTTCTCCCAATTCCATTGGCTGCAAGTGAGTGATTTATTGTTTCCTGAGTTGGCAACTGCAAGCTGTTGTGCAGCCAGACAAGTCCCTCCTTCTCAGCTCAGCGCCATTCACCATTGGCTGCAAGTGCATTCACCAACCCCTTTGAGTTTTAAGGTAAACTCATTTTTAAAATTTGAATTATCAATTCATAATTTAATATAAAATTTTGCAAGTGACATAGAATTATATGATAATTGATGTATCGAATTGTTGTTGTTGATGAATTGAATTCTTAATTAATTGAATTATTTGATTTCATTTCAAACCCAATTTTTAGGTTCAATTTTATAATATGTTGGACCATGTGTTAGTGCTTTTATAATATATATTTATAATATATAATATGTGTTGGAATGATAATTTTGATAGGAAATTTTTGTTATATCATTGTAGGTAATTTTTGCAAACGAATTATCAAAACCATGTCTTTTAGGAAACAACTCTTTGGTAATATAAAAAGGAAAAGAAAAAAAAAAGGCAAAGGACAACGAAATTGCCAAAAGTTTAAGAGGATCTCTTAATAAAAAAAATTTCTACAAAGAATGAGTCGGTTGAAAATTTGAGAGAAAATGATGTTGGTGAAGAGTCACAAAATGTTGTTGGGAAGTCTCATGATCATGAAATTGGTGGTTATGTGGATAGAGATGTTAATGACAAGTCTCATGATCATGAAAATGGTGGTGATTTAGAGGAAAATGCCAGAAGACAATTTCTTAAAGGTTGAAATTTCAAGGAGCCTTGCTAGGAGTGGTTGTATATGATTGTACTTTTGATTGTCGGGGTTTAGGTACTATGCGCCCGCCCCCCCTCCGGGGGTTGTATATTTTCTCAAGCAATATAATTTGGGCGTGAAGGCCTAGCCCCCCCCCCCCCCCCCACAAAAAGCATCGATTGGGTTCTAGCCCTCGTTAATTTAATTTAATTTTTTTTAAACATATGTTTCCGTATTAAAAAAAAAAGGCACATTTTTTAGCTTTCGCACTAGGCACCAAAAAACTTAGAACCGATCCTAGGTGGTATAGTAGATTAATAGTAATACTATTAAAGTAAAGCTTATAAAAGCATAATATTGCATCACTTGCAGCTCTTATTTTTATACATGTTCATATGTATTAACATAGCTAGGTTACCATCCATGCATGCAGTAATTAATTGGATAAAGGAGGCTTGTGGGGTGGCTTGTAGAGGTTTTGTGGTGGATTCTTCTCTAGTGGCTGCTTGTACAAGTCTTCTAAAGGCTCATGATCAATCTAAATCGGCGGTTGGTTTCAGTCCCTTGCAAGGTTTGCCATCCAATTCAACTGACTTCTCCACTTCCAAAGTAGGAGGCTTATGAATTGGTGGCTTGTGTGGTGGTTTATGAGGTGGCTTATGGTGATCAACAAAAGAATAAGTGCTGAGAAGTATCACACCCAGGAGAATACGAGAAGCCATTTTGGTGACATCGTTACGGGAACTAGCGAGATGTGCGAACTGTGTGACATGAGTGGTGCAAAACTAGTGCAAGTCCGGTGGCCTTTTATTAGGCCATCTCCAACTGAAGGAGGGCCAGAGGGCTCGTTTCCCTCCAAAAAATTAATATTTTAATGAACAGTACAGGGCCATATTTTTTACCATCTCCAACCAAGGGCCAAAGGGCCATATAGCTTGTTTTAGTCCAATCAGAAAAAACCATCTCCAACCGAAGACCAAAGGGTTATAGGGCCAAACATAATTTATTATTTAAATTTACAAACTACAACAACTTAAATTTAAAAACTACAACTTAAATTTAAAATTACAAATTAAAATTAAAAATGACAACTTAAATTTATAAGGAAAAATGGGAATTTTTAAATTTTGGCTGAAAAAAAAAAAATTCAAATCCAACGGTAACTAACATCAACTAGCCGTTGGATTTGAATTTTTTTGGGCTATAAATAGGATGGATGTTGAGCTATAATTCACACACCTTTGAATTCAATTTCTTTCAATTAAAACTCTTTCAATTCAAGTTTGCAATGAATTCCAACATTGGATCCTCTTCGAATTCCAACTGAGGATCCGAATCCAATTTCAAATTGAAGAAAAATGGGCACAGATGAGACGAGAAGATGAGGAGTCTGATAAAGAAAATAAAGCATGGCGTAACACACAATATGTGGTAGCCATGGTTGCGTCCATGGTGTGTTAGCCAACTGAGGAACAACCTCAATGTGGTGGCTCTGTTGCTAGTCACTCTTACAAATCATGAAACAGAGTGATGGAACATGACAATCTGATGAATAACTACTTCAATCCCAACTCGGTGTACAAAGAAGAGGATTTCAAACATCGCTTCTAGATAAGGCATCATGTGTTCGAGCGTTTAGTTCATGATGTCCAGCAAGTCAATCCATACTTTCGACAAAAGCTGGACAGAGCAGGTTGCCCTGGTTTCTCACCTCATCAAAAGGTTACTATTGCACTCCGAATGATGGCCTATGCCTCCCCAACTGATGCAATGGATGATACATACAATATGTATGAGTCTACATGCCTTGATACTCTTGCTAAATTCTATGAAACAATTGTTCATCTTTACAAAGAGGAGTACCCCCGTGACCCAAATCAATAAGATCTGGATCAGCTCTTCGCAAAGCTGAAGACCGTGGCTCTCCAGGCATGATAGGTTCATTAGACTGCATGCATTGGAATTGGAAGAACTGTCCCATCGGATGGTAAGGAGGCTTTAGCGAAAAGTCAAGGAAGCCAACTATTGTGTTCGAGGCAGTTGCCTCGTATGACACATGGATTTGGCATGCTTTCTTTAGAGTCTTTGGATCCCAAAATGACATTACAGTTCTTGGGCGTTCACCCCTATTCAATAACATGACAGAAAGTAAATCACCTCAACTTAACTACTACATCAACGACCGTCAATACAATATGGGTTATTACTTATCAAATGTCATCTACTCAAAGTGGGCAACACTTGTCCAAACAATTCGAAACCCTGCGAATGACGTTGAAAAGTGTTTTACCTTACACCAAGAGGCATACCGGAAAGATGTTGAGAGAGCTTTCGGTATTCTACAAGCACAGTGGAAGATCCTCAAGGAACCGACAAGAGGGTGGAGTCTGAGAAAATTTAGACTCCATCATGATGTCTTGCATCATATTACACAACATGATTGTGGAGGATGAGCGAGATGGGTATATTGATGGAGAGTCTGATGACAACCAAGAGGATCCAAATAGGTCAAGAAGGGCTTGTGCAAAAATATATGATGGGCCTAATTTGCCTTTCAATCCAAGAGCTATTAGTATCTTTTTAAATGAGTACATGATGCGCTACAGGATGATACGTTCCGTGTCACAAATAAGTACCTACAACAGGATCTTGTTGCACATCATTAGGCCAAAATAAGCATGGAGTAGATGTTTAAGTTTTATATTGTTAAATGTTTTTAAAAATGTTGTTTAAGTTTCATATTGTTAATTTTTTTTTTATGTTGTTTAATGTTATTCAATGTTGTTTAATATTGTTTAATGTTGTTTCATGTTACTTAATGTTATTTAATGTTGTTTCATATTACTTAATGTTATTTAATGTTGTTTAATGGCTTAGGAAATTATAGGAAAAAAAATTTGTAAAAAAAAAAAAAATTAAAAAATAACAGCTAGCTGACATCAGCTAGTTACCATTGGAATTCAAATTTGGCTTAATATTATTTAATGTAGTTTCATGTTACTTAATGCTATTTAATGTTGTTTAATGGCTTAGGAAGTTATAGGAAAAAAGAAATTTGTAAAAAAAAAAAAATTCAAAAATAACGGTTAGCTGACATTAGCTAGTTACCATTGGAATTCAAATTTTGGCCTGACCCGGGGCCGGCTGGCTGGTTGGTTTAGGCAGGCCGGTTGGCCCTTTGGCCTTTGTTTGTCCAGTGGGACCCACGAGCCCTTTGGCCTGACCCTCGGTTGGGGACGGTTTTCGAGCTATTTTCGGCCCTCTGACCCTTTAGACCCTTCGATTGGAGATGGCCGAAGAGATTGGAGGTCTATATTTCCATGACACTTGTATGCCACATAAATTTGCAAGTTTTCTTGGGCAAGTTAATGATGGGATAAGGCCATCTGTAAACCACCAATCGAGGTGAGGTTACAAATGTCAAAGGATGCTAGTATTTTTATCATAGAAATTTCTTATTAGAATTATTCAATTTCTTAATTTTTATTTTGAAGATTATTCATTTAAAAAAGGATTTTTTTTATCACAAATGGTTCTTGAAATCGACCCTCACCATCAAGATGGTCTCTGAAATTGAAAATCAATCAATGGAGTCCCTGAAAATAGGTGTCGCAAATCAATGTGGTCATTTTCGTCACCTTCTGTTAAAATTTTATTAAATGCTGATGTGGCACATAAATGGGCCCCATCATTCTAATAAGAAATTTGTACAATGAAAATCAATGTGGTCCTTTCATCACAAATTAATGTAGTCATTTCGTCACAATTCTATCAAAATTTATGTTATGTGCTGATGTGACACATAAATAGGTCACACAAGTCTAATTAAATTAAAAAAAAATTACAAATAGGCTTAATAATTTAATACTTAATAAAAACAATTATCAACCCAAAAACCCAATCCTGCAATCACCTCCGATCCCAATCCACATTTCTCTACCTAATTCGCTCTCTATTCTCTCACTGAAGTGAACCTAGATTGAGATCACCTTTGGTGACGGCTAGGCCCATTGGCAACGACTTATGGGATATCATCGTTAACATTTAGGCGATCAATATTCTCATAACCTTAATCTTAGAGAGCTTGTTCAGCGCTTCCCTAGTGGTCTGGTGATGCAAAGAATGACGAGGTCTACCTTCAGATAATGACATTATAACTGAGGGGCATCTATTGTTGGTTGAAAACTATTTCCACACCCCCTCTTAGGCCTTAGTTAAGCCTTGTGCCTTTGAGAATTTATGGAAGGGATCTTTCTTCGGAGTAGGCCCTACTATAAGAAAAAAAATCCATTGTGCAAAAATGTATTTGGACAACTTTTTTAATTAATTATTACACCCACATTAGCACATAACAAATTTTTTTACAAAATTGTGGCGGAAGGATCATATTGATTTGCAACACTTATTTTTCAAGGACTACATTGATTGATTTTCAATTTTAAGGACCACATTGATGGTGTGTGAGTCAATTTCAGGGACCATCTTGATGGTATGGGTCAATTTCAAGAACCATTTGTGATAAAAGCCCATAAATCTTATGGGGCCCATTTATGTGCCACATCAGCACTTAACAGAATTTTTAACATAATTGTGATGGAAAGACTACATTGTTTTGTGACACCTATTTTCATGGACTACATTGATTGATTTTTAATTTCAGGGACCATCTTGATGGTGAGGGTCAATTTGAAGGACTATTTGTGATAAAAACCTGTAAAAAATTGTTTGAATAAAAAATCATTTAATCATTCAAATTTGTGGAATAAATTGATAGGGCAGGTATATCAAGTAACATATTCATAATGAATTATCTAATTATTTGATATATTTGAATGACTAAACAATCTCTGATCCGAATTATTTTTGTAGGAATAATCTTTAAATGATGATTGAGAAAATGGATGATTCTTATTGTAAAATTTTACGATGAAAATATACTATTTATAAGAAGTGGATATGCACGTCCACCAATACGGTAGAAGCAAGTATTATCCTACTTATATAGTGCCAAATGACCTTAGAGCCTGGATTTTAAGTGTATGATGTGGATTCAATAGATAAGATGAAAGCTTAAGAAATTTGAAAAAGAGTAAGGTTCCGTCCATAGTTTGTATAATCCGTAAGAAAGAACGGATGAATCTCATTGATAGAGTATAATGCACTTGGACTGAGCATTTCCCTTGATTTGTTTACACTAACATCACCATGTGGAAACAATGAAAAAGAGAAAACGCAGATCATTGATGGATTAGTATTTGTGTTTTATCTTTTTCTTAGGGATTATAGTGCTTCAATTTGACTTTCTGGTTTTTGACATCAACACGTAATTGCAAATAATAACATTAATTAAGTAGTCTCGAATGACATTCATTCCTGTATTCACGATGACAAAATGCCATCTTTTTGTAAAGTTATGTGGATAAAGTTTTATTCGCATGGCGGCAGAGATGAGGAGAAGCGTTTTTACATTAGCAAACACAAACGGATTCTTAAATTAAGATCGGCAAGATATATTCCTTTTGGATTGCTCTTTTCATATTTAAGATATCTTTGGCTCCTTTTGTCAAATAATTGATAAGTTTTGTATTGTTAGCTTTTTCTTTTTTGTCTTTTGGACTTCTGATGATCCTTCCCACTGTTTATTTATTTTTTTCTGTTATGTGCCTGTTTGATTTTTTTTCTACATGGTGCTGATACCGTGACTATCTGCTATCTTGTTGGTGTAACGTGGGTCCTTTGTGATTGCTATCTTGTTGGTGGAACGTGGGTCCTTTGTGATTAGAAATTACATAATTTTCAAGATAAGTTTGTGATTGTAAAATTGTTTTGATATTTTCGACACATGCGACTGCTTGATTACATTTGTCATCTCTGCCTTAAGTACAATCTTCATGCATGGTT